ACAATATTAAAAACTTTAACACTGGGGTTCAATACTAAAACACACTTCACAGTACTGGTACTGGTAAGGGTCCTATAAATAAAGTTCTGGTATTGATAAAATAACAAATTGAAAAAAAACATAAATGTTACATATTTTTACCCATCTACCCGCAAAACTTTTTAAAATTATAATGTGCAATGTGGACAGCCAGCTGTCCAGAAAGATGGATGCAATGTACATGTATATGTATGCCCAAACTGTCAGGTGAAGAAATGAAAATCAGTAATGCTTGCACTTCATTCACAGCTCTCCAAAAATGAATGGTCAAGCAAATTGTCAGGAATTTTTTCCCCACTGCAATGCATTACAGTGGACTCAGGCCTATACCGGTACATGTAGGGCTTTTCACACTGTAACCTCTCAACTTGGGGTTGAACTCGGGCCTGGAAAAACCCCCTTTGCCCAAGGTTGAGTTGTTAGCTTCTGCTGCCCCTTGTTAAACCCTTAATCATTTCACACTTGTTTTTGAGCAAACATCATGGTCTGCGAACAAAACTAGCTTACACGTACATTCACCTAGGGGTGAGTTAGATCCTGAGATGAACATTAGCAATTCACAATTGAGCAGTATCACCTCTTGCTTAGAACCTGCCGGGTTGAAAAATTCCCAGTGTGAACTATGGTAAAGATCAGAAATTTACTGGAGCAGGAATTGAACACCTACATGTGCATGTGCATGTATTGTGATTCAGGTTACATAGCTTCTGACTAGTGCCCCTGAAAAAAAAAAAAAAAGATATTGTCAAATGGGAAAAGCCACCAATGTAGGACTGGATAGCTCAGTTGGTTAACTTGTGGTTAATCAAGGATTGTCGCATGTCTAGCTCCAGACTAGGGCCTGACTACCGGTACCTCAGTATCCTTGTCTCTAAACCTAGACAGGCGCATACTTCGTACGTTCAAAATAAACCACCAAACTGCCAAAATTCCCAAGGTGTACCTTTCATGAAATGTTTTGTCTCAATTTTGTCATCTCAGTGCTGCAATTCATTTACTACACTGATTCACTCCCAATTATTGAACATGTGTGTGTTATCATAATTTCACTTTGAACATTGAACAAATTCTTTTCTTAAATGTACACTAACATTTTTTGATTCAATTTTATTGTATTGGTTTGACTAAAATAGAGCACATGTATGGAATGATATTTTGAAGAACACTGAAACAATGAAAAGAAACTATTGGAAGCATGGTATAGGAGATTTAAAAGAATGAGGTACCGGTACATGTAGGCTTACAAGTGGGTCATTCCAGAAATTGGGGTCCAAAAGTGTGACATTTTTGTGTCCCTGTTACATCTGACCTTTGTTTTGTTTGACATGGAAATATCACCACAGTTGGTTTCATACTATTACTGTTTGTTCGGCAGGTCATTTGCGTTAATTCATCACTGTTGGAAATTAGAAAATATGTTCTGAATTTACAGAATCATATGTCAGAGACACACAAAAAATGGACCCCTAATTTCTGGAATTACCCAAGTATAAGGTATGGGTGGTGTACATTTTTTCAGGTGCTGTATATTTGATGACGGCCTCCATTACAGTAAGCATGTTTAACAGATTTCCGGTCAATTCAAACAGACCATCCTTTACAAATCTAGTGCATGTGGTAAGATTTTACTCTCTGCTAACATTTTTAGAATAGAGAGTAAGCTTTTAATTTCTGTACAGCTGCGGCGGGAAAAAAGTTGACGTGACAAATAATTGGCAAAGGCCATGTGCTTTGTGCTTGGGCCATCAATAAAACATAAGTTGTTGATCATCCCTGCCTGACCCACCAAAACACCCCACCACTTTTTGTTTCCTTCCTTTTTAATAGTGCATTTGGAGAAAATTCAACAATGGCAGTAATTCAATTCTGAATACAGAATCATATTCCATGTACACGTATAAACAGACAATCCAAAGAGGAACCTGTCTGGTATCTTTC